CCAAAGCCCTAAACCCCTTAACCCCAAAACCCTAAACCCCTAAACCCCTTAACCCCAAAACCCTAAACCCCTAAACCCCTAAACCCCTAAACCCTAAACCCCTAAACCCCTAAGCCCCCAAACCCCTAAACCCGTATTTCTGAAGATCCCTTAATCCGCAAGGTTCCCCTTGCCGAGCTGGACCACTTTGCTCGCGAGTGGAGTTCGAAGTGCCTCGGCTTAGGGGTTTAGGGTTTAGGGTTTAGGGGTTTAGGTTTTACGGGTTTTGGGGTTTAGGGCTTCTGTACTTGCACCTTAATTTAGGGGCCTGAAGAATTACCACTACTATTCTGAGGGCTCCTTATTTTAATAATAGTATAATATATCCCGAAACCCTATTCGAATTATGATTGTCGCATAATATACCCCAAAACCCTACTCTTATTATGATTATAGTATAACATACCCCAAAGCCCTGTTCTAATTATGAAGGCCCCTACATTCCTTTCGAAGCTGGGTGAGCCCAGGAAGCAAAATCGTGGCAATCGTCTCGCACAGCCTACTTCCTCAGCTACTTAGACCGTAAGGTAGGGGGGGCCTTAATAATTAGAACAGGCTTTTGGGGTCCCTTCTACTATAAATAGAACAAGGAACCCCGACAATAATGTTGGTAATTGTTAAGGCTGCAGAATTGGTAGCACTCTGCCGCCCCTTACTGTAAAACCATTGGCTTGCAGTTGTGCAAGATCTGCAACCTGGACATAGAGACATGAGCGAGATCTGTGAGCATGTTGCCAGTATGAGAAGTTGCAGAAGACCGTAAAATCTCCACGTGTGTTCCTCATGGCTTTCAGAGCTGCTGATGCATGGCTTCGCGCTAATGCTGCAGCACTGAGCGTTTCAATGCCCGTTGTCGGCGTGATGGGTTGCTATGCTTGGAATGCCACGGAGAGTAAGCGCATGGCGCGCCAAATCCGCAACCGACACTTCCAACCAGAGGCTTTTGCAGAGTATGACCAACGGTTTTGCCTTTTTGACAGAAACAGGATGCAGAATGCTCCGATGGTTGCCCTGGTTGGATTGACATCCACAGGGAAGTCCAGCACTTTGTCGCAGTACCTGAAAGAGAGGCCGAACCCCTTCTACCTGTCGCTCACGGATGGTAACCTCTACGATGCAGTGTATGAGGAGCTGAAAAAGGCAGTCCTTTGTCTCCCTTTTTTGGCCCACCATGTGCGTTGGGACGCTAGCAAGACGCGCAAGGACATCGTCATTGAAGTCTTCAAGCTGGTGCAGGAGCAGACTGGTTCGCCGGTGCAGCTGGGAGTGGATGTGGTCTTGAACTCCACAACATTGCCTGTAGAGGGGGCAGACAGAGCAGTGAAGACTGTGCAGAATTTGTATTTGCCAGCGCCAAGCTCAGTTCCAAGTTTCAGCCCCATCAACATCATCAAGCTCGTCACGGATGTGAAGTGGCTTTGTGCTGATGCGAGGGTGGCTTCGGCAGTCATAGCATCCAGCGAGGGCTTGGAGCTTCTGAGCGTGAATGAGCCAAGACTTCGGACGCTGATAGCAGAGGAGATGCCGCTCGAGAAAGCCAAGGAGTACCTCCAGCACATCCACGCCAAGGACTACACGGACGAGATGCTCAAGAAAATCCCACGAACCTTCACTCTGCTTCAGTATTTCAAGACAGCACCGGACAAGGAGGACTTTGCCCATAAGGAGATGGAGGTGTGGATGGAGAGAGTAAAGGAGTCCATACAACATTGCTCCCGAGGTCGCAGGGCCGCCAAAGCCCTCTTCAGGAAAGCGCTTGACACAGTCGACTACGATGACATTTGCAAGCACTGCAAAGACAAGCCGAACTTCACGGCAAATTTCGTGAGACCCAGCCTCTTTACCCCCACAGAAGGTGCGAAGTACAAGTTGCAATTCGATTGTGTAGCAGAGGCAGCGAAGACTGTGTTCCGCCTGTGAGTGCCCATTGTCCATCTGATGTGGCAGTGCTCAGATTCCCACTGCGAGTCTGAACAGGTCGCGTAGATGAACAAAAGTGCATGTGAAGCGGGTGAAGCGCAGAGAGACCCCAAAGCGTGGGCATCAGCATCAGAGCGCAAGGTGATTAACGTAACAATGATGCAGCGCAGAAGTTGCAATCTTTGCGTTTGTTTCTGTGTTCCCTGATGATTTTTGACATGCTGGCCTTGATCATTGATCTTAACCCGATGGATTTGACTTGATTCTCCCATGTTGCCTTTTTGATGCGCTTGTAACATAACCATGATGTCAGTGCTGCCATCGTGGTTACCAAACGGCAGTAAACTGTTGAAGACTGACTGTTTGAGTTGCCCAAGAGCCGCTTGCACGGTTGGATGCATTGGTGTTCAGCTTTTCGGGGCATGCTTGATGCGTTTAGCGTAGGAAGGTTCCTATCTAGTAGAAGATACCACCCCACATCCGTGGTCAGTAGTAGTTGGATCCTGGAGAAGCGCAGGCCTTACTCTTCGGGATTCAATTGGGGATTTAGGATTTAGGGTTAGGTTGTTTTGCGATTTACTTTGACCCCTAAGGGCCTGTATGGAAACATCCACTGTAAGATGTGAGGTAGGATGATTTCAAGCAGGGGAGGTTTTTGACGAGTTGAGAGGGCGCAGAATTCACAACTTCAGCATTATTACATCTTCGCATCGTTCTGTCCTCATGCATGTTCTTGAACACTCAGTAAGTCCAAAAATGATGAGACAGACCGCACCGGCACTAGGTATTCCCATACCGAAAATGCCAGCTCAAAGGATCAATGCGTGCTATTTCCTGCGAACTGCCGCGACCCATGGACATTTTTGTCAATCAGAAGCACGTGTACCGCTGAACTAAACCCGAACACCCAAACTAAAACGACCACCATGAAGCAGATCAGAAGTGATTTCTTCAATGCATGAGCGTAGGACGGGATAGGATTCTCTGTAGCGCCCCTCGGGTGCAGCTTTGTACCCTAAACCCTAGACCCTAAACCCCAAACCGTACCGCAGTTGAAGGGCAGATTTGGTGGAATGCGTTGCCCTGCCACTTCCTCTGGTGCACACCACAGCCCTGATCCAACTGTATTAAATCGCCGATATAAGGAACCTAATCCCTTAAGCTGGGCCCCCGAACTCAAAACCCTACCAAGACCACCCTAAACTGACCCTAAACCCTAAACCCCTGGACTTCCTGAACCCAAGTGCTTCACTGCCATGCCCGAGAAAGCTGGTTTTCAGTTCCGGCGCCGAGGCACAGCTTGAAACTCCGCTTCGAGTTTAATCGCGTGGGGCCAAGCTACTTCGTCCTGAAGCCGCCGCTGCGACTGGAGGACCAGGGTTTAGGGTTTAAGGTTTAGGGTTTAGGGTTTAGGGTTTAGGGTTCAGGGTTTAAGGTTTAGGGTTTAGGGAAAGTACGTTGCAAGTAGAGTCATAAGTACCCTAAATGGAGTCACTCTACTTATTATC